AGTGGGCTGACAACGGCATCGTTTGATATCCTTTTCGATGCTCAGAAACCTGGTCGCTCATATGGTTCCAACAGCATGGACATCCTGTCAGACTCCGGTTTTGCGTCTTTTGTCCATTCAAATGACGCCAAAGATTTGTGTATTGTCATCATGTGGTTTTAACGACATGATGGTCCGTTCATTGATATAAACCCCATGAGTTCAGTTCCTACGTGTGGGGTGGGGTGGACGCCTCTCAATTTCAATAAAGGTCCCAAACCTCTGCATATAAATTCGATCGTAAAAACTTGAAACGATATTGGGGTATTATGAGGAAACCATATATATATAGATCGACTGTTCAACCTTAGTCTATATGGTGGTATCTCTTGGTTGCCTATATATGGGGATGTCTCAAAATCAGATGATCTCCCTACATGGCAAGTGTTTTTTTAAACCGGTTGCCATTCGACAACACAATGTTTATATCCCCATGCAGTCTTTCTTGATATGTGGCTACCCCCAGCATTGGTCACTATGGTATCCCGTCCGCGTTCCTTCCCAAGGCTGTGCCTGCATTCTTTGCTGTGCTCCGCGGAAGAGTTCCTTGCAACGTTTGCGATCAAGTGTTCGTCTTGGTCCGCGGTAAACCGCGGGACCAGCTTTCGAACACCATGTACTTCAATTGGGTATGAGGAGTACGAATCCGTGTACACCAGCAACACCATGGCTGGCCGGTTTCTTGATGGGGATATATAAGAAAATATGTTTGTGGGATTGATCATGGGGTTTGTATGTTGATAAAGTGATTTGTGATTGAGGCTATGTTTACTCCTGATTGTGGTGACGGCCCTGGGTGGAGCATGGTTTGTGGAACAGCCCGAGCAATCAGTTCTGGAATACTTTCCACCGTTCCAATCCCTACTTGCCCAAATATTCGAAGCCAACCGTGGGACTGCAGTGCCTAGTCTTCAATGGCTATAGCAGAGTTAATGTGTTGCTTTCATTTCAGTCGCATGCAACCAAATTCAAATGCCTTTGCGTGTCATGGTTCAGGAATGGGTTGGACCCGTATGTAGAACTATATGTTGCTTTGGCCCCCAATACTTTCTGGGTAATCTTGGATGACCCATGAGAAATTGAATATTGGACTTCCATTTGTATGGCCAGGGTCACTGAATTTACCAATGCATACCATCTTTGTCCATGCACCCAGTCTATCACATATATATATATATACCCCTTAAATCCCCTTAATATACCCTGTATACATAATATATCATATATACCTTTCCTCTCGCCTCCAGGTATTCCGTGCCAAGTGGTACATGGCCCACTACGGAGGCTTGAGTGCCAAGCCGCACTACGCTTGGGGCAACAGTCCCCATTTGTCACGCCTCTGCCTTGGTCCGCTTCTGGGGCGGCGTGCAAAGCAACCGTATGAGGGGCCCCTGAAGGTGAAAACCTGCAAGACCTATAAAAACAAAAAGGGAGAGACCTGCTATACTGGAAACAGTAACCTTCGCAAGTCAGAGCTGCTCAGCTCAAGCCAACAAATCACCAAGTTTGTTTTGGGGTAGATCGTCGTTTATGCTTTTGGGTTTTGAGATCGGAAGATGCGTTGTGGGGAGACATGTTGTGGGGGTACCACCTTTCAAGCCATGTGGTAACTTTTATTTTCGGGGTTGGGATGTGCTTTGAGGAGCCAATATAATTTTTAAGATGTTATATAAAATCAAAATCATGATTTATAAAATCGCATGGTTCATGATGGTTCATTTTGGGATATATGAAGACAATCATGTATGGTTAAGTACAGTTTTTGGGGTTCATATATATGGTTGGAACATTACATGGGAACCTCGTGCATCTGAGGCAATATCCTGTACGGTTTGGCTTCAAGATTGTTGATCTCTATTCCGATCTTGTGTCGTCAGCGTTGGGAAAAACACCTGTGCCCAAAGTGACTCCGAAAGCCACCGAGTCGTATGAGGGAATGCCAGATGAAATCGGCGCCCTAGACTATGCCCAGGTAATTAACGTATTCAATTATCTCCGTCAGGGAAAAGACCTGATCATCCCAAATCAATGGTCGCATTTGGTTCCAAAGCCTTTGCTTTGACCGTGAAACCAGAATAAGAAAACCTTCAAACATACTTGATCACATTTCACCGAATTGTTTGATTTGGAACGTCGGGGACCCAGATTGTAACCAAATAAAAAGTTAAGGTGGTGGTTTTAATGCAATTTCTGTTTTTTTTTAAATTGCGGAAAAAAAAGATAGGTTCCGACAGGAAAACCCGGTTTTCTACTATGAAAACCCGTATTTAACCCGTAGGGAACCCGTATTTCTGTCATTCCAATCAGAACCCCACTTTCTAGAACCCGTATTTAACCCGTAGGTAACCCGTAGGGAACCCGTAAAAAACCCGTAGGAACCCGTAAAAAAAAGATGGGTTTTCCACTTCACGGCCAAGGTGGTAATTATGTGTAATTTGGCCTCGTTTACGGGCCCGGACCGACTTTGACGTGCAATGATATGGCAAAATGTTGCCACCGATTGCCACGGATCATTCAAACATAAATTTTCTTGTTGTGGCAATGATGTTTGATTGCACCAAATTCACCAGACCTTGTTATCCGTCCCCTGCTGCATTCTAGAGATCACTTGGTGGGTTGGAACCATACCTATAGGTAGACTTTTAGGTCTCACCATGTCTCGACAGCCAGATTCAGCCATGGAGAGCTCCCGGCTTTGGAGTTGCGATACCCTAAAGGATGGCATCACCCACTTGATGTCAGAGGTCGATGCCGCCGATGAGGAAGAGAATCTACTAGAGATCATGATCAAGGACAGTGTTATTAAAATTGTTTAATGTCAGAATGCGCATCCTTAAATATATTTGTAGCACCCGGGCCTGCATTGCCTTATATCGATTAATTTTGGGATGCCCGGTATATATCCATTGTATATGGGCAGGACCTGGAAAAGAAGCAGTTGGCACTTGGCAGCGCACCGCCAGCCCCAGTGCAAAACTCAATCATATATTTACACATTGGACACTGGATGGAATGGGTTGGATCCTGTTTTATGCATGCCCCACCCTACAACCCCTTCCGTGCTGACTCCCCAGGTGCCGACCGAGCCAACTTTGGCACCGGACATTGCGACCGCCGAGACCCTAGAGGCCTGCAGACGCCAGTGCGCATGGTATAAATATATATATATATTGCATGGGGAGGGTGCATGTATAAATATATAGATGTGTTATGACGTGACCTACGGTATTTAATGGGTGATCGAGTTCGGATATATATGATTTTGATGTTGCATTCAAACTTCCAAATGGCTCACAAGTTTAAAGGCTTATTATATTTATGTGTGTATATAGAATGAATCAGTTGAGGAACAATGCAACTTATATCTTTGATTTTATATATGATAGGAGAATTGACTTGGTCGATCAGGCTACTGCTACCCAAGTTCAAGAAGCACTTGCTCCTGGTGGTTTGGAACCGGCTACTCCATCTGCAGCTCCCACCCCTGTAGCAGTTACTCCTAGTCCCACTGAACCGGCTACTCCATCTGCAGCTCCCAGCCGTGTAGAAGTGACTCCTAGTCCCGCTGAAGCCACCCCGAAGTCCACGTTGGGTGAACAACCAAAGTCTACAGATGGAGATCAAAAAGCATCTGAAGTTGAGAGCCACAAGGACCATATGTTTTTGCATTCAACTATATATATATATATAACATAGTCATCAAATGAAGTTAATATGGGGTTATTTTTTTGGGGAAACTTCCGAAGTTGGTCATGCATGATGATCACTGCACACTTTTGCCGCGCAGGATCAGGGTGCCTCCGTCCGGCCCATTCCTACACCAAATCGGACCGCCAAGCCTCGTGGGAAGACTCGCCAGGAGCACCCATTGATCCAACCTGAATCTCACATGGGAAGCCATACCATTCTCTATATATAACAGGTCAGCATATATTTACTATATATATATGACTTGACTTGACTTATATTTTGTACATGATCATTGCATGTATATAATATACGTGAGTTACGAATTTACACAACCAATGGAAACATCAACTTGATGGTGTTTATATAATGGGGTTGGTATGGTTTTGCAATGGCCTTTCCTGTCAGGAATTGCTACGCGATGCTGCCAAAGCCCAGATCCGAAGGATGTGCAAACCGAAAAAGACACGTAAAGATCTGAACGTTCCGGAATGGGTTGTTTCTGAATACAAAAGCCGACCCCAAAATGAAACAGCAGCTCTCCTGGTGAATTGCAACTTTGATAAGGCCGGTCATCCCATGTAGGTTACATGTGCAGTTTTGTCATGCAATCAGCAATGTGTGTGTGCATGGGGTACATATTCCTACATGCGTGCACAGGCACAGTTTATCGCTTCGCTGGAGATTGTGGTCAAACGCCGGTCATCCCAAAAGGTGACCATTGATGAGGAATGGCTGTCTGAGAAAGAAATGAAGGATGACTATGGATGGTCTACGTGCTTATCTCAAAGGGGTTTGTTACAACACCCAACTCATATAAAATCAGATGTGCATTCTTGAATCTATTGGGTTCTTGGGTACACCCATATGACCACAGTGAAGTGTGTAATGTTTACCTGTTGTTCCAAGGGCGAAGATCAACGGTGCAAAGGCTTTGTGCATGAAGAGATCTGCGACCCACATAAGGAGATCTCAATTCCATGGATGCATTTCCATGCAATGGATGTTGCATCAGCTATATATAATCCTTTTATATACATTGTCCATATATACTTTATTCTGCGTAACTATATACTCTCTCTCCCTCTCTCTCCTTCGAACCATTTATATCCGTCCCTTCCCTTGGTCAACCGTCTGGCAGGAAAAACCTTTACGATGGCGTAGAGGAGTACTACGTCGTTGTCAAGGAGAAAGGACAGCGGGAACAGGAACATGTTGAAGAGGAGACACGGAGCAAAAGGAAAGCCTTGGAGGCGGGGTAAGTAAACAAGTTAATGAAGTGTATGGGTGCCTTGGTCGGTTCAACATTGGTTGATCCATCAAAAACATCATGGCCAAACTTTATGGTCTATATCCATGTTTGGTTTTCCCTGTTTGGTCTCAAAGTAAAATCGAGTAAATGCCTCTTACTCCATGAGAGGTTCTTGTTAACCACTCTTGCCATCCGGAGGCTTCTGAGGAGCCGAACCTGTCGGCCAATGCACTTGCCGGCCTCAAAGCGATGGAGGACCGACATGCTGCAGAGGCTGCAGAACCAGCAGATTCTACAAGCAGCCAAGCCGATGAGGCCTGGTTGACCATATATATCATTGCCTGCATTTGGGCATATGGTGGCATATGTTGATATTGGTTAAATAGATATCTGGGTACATCGATGGGTATATATACGGGATATGGAATTTAGATGGTTGGTTTTCTGGTTCCCTGAGTTTAGTACCAAATTTCAAGATATTTCAAGATTATCCCACAACATAGCAAACTTATGATACCAAAAATATACCATACCATCACTGGTCACATTTGTTACCGGAAATCCTTGACCAGACCAAGAAGAAGCTGCGGAAGTTCTTGGAGTCGATGATTCAGAAGTCAGGCAAAATCAGGTCTTTGGTGCGGGAGATCGCCGATGTCTACTCAAAAAGTGATGTCCTGCAGAAGTCTTCTTCTCAATCGCTCGAGACTTTCCACCTCTTTGCAAACATGTTGAGAACAGTTTGCTTTGGCCCTTCGCCGAATTATAGATCCACCCCTCGGCCGCTTGAGGTCCAAGCGCCAGCTGGAGGACGAACTCCAGAAACTTGATGGCCAGTACGATGTCTGCAACAATGTGATGGCCAAGGGTGAGGTGAATGGATTTGGGCCGGAGTGACGGACTGAGAAAAATATAGTCAATATATATATAATTATATATATACTTTACCAACAGATCACATTCAGTTGCACCTGCATGGGATTCAATGTATGCACTTATCATAAAAATGGAGTCCTTGATTCCACCCATCTATGAAATCATGCGGATGAGGTTCGTGACCCAAGCCACGACTGCCATGAACAATGCGACATACACGTGTGGGCCTCATGGCAATTTGTACCACTCTTCATGCGTATACATATTTATACAATATATACATTGATTGCATCTTCATGTCAACCTGACATGATTTCGTTCAGGTTGAAAATTGTTGACACATGCCCACAATGGCCCAGGTGCTCAACGGCCTGCGCAGCGGAAGCAAAGACGAGGTCCTTACCTCAGCGCATCAGCGCCATGCCCAGTGTCCTACTTATATACTTGCAATCTTTTCCAGGAATGCGAAACGGTATGAGAAGAAGGACGCTGATTTGCCCGGATCCCCACCTGTGAAAAAGGAGAAGAAAGATAAGACAGACAAACGTGACTCGAAATCTGTGAAGACCAAAAAACGAAAGGGCGAACCGGATGAGAGCGCAGTCGCCGAAGTTCCCAAGTCGAAGAAGTCCAAGAAAAACAAGTGATGTTTTGACTCGAGCTGATCATTTTTTGATCTTTGGGATGGATTGCCGATATATAGAGCAATCATTTTTTGTTGGAACTCCCAACAAATTTGTGTCACCTGAGGGAACCTGCAGGTCACCTGCGACCGACATGAAACAGGATAGCACCTGCGGGACTTGTTGAATTCTGGACTCATCCATGTCCGTGTTTGGTCGCCCATCCAAGACCCATCCACCTATATATGTTTTGGGCACAGTACATTCTGTGAATTAATGTGAATTTGTTTTTGGCATTTCATCTGCGGGCTGACTGGATGCGATGTCTACAGAAACAATGCTTCGCATTTGGGATTTGAAACCAACATCGATCGAGCGGAAAAATGGTTTCAATCTTGCTGGATGCATAGTGCCGCAGTGCCAACACCCTGCTATATCTTTCTTGCCAGGCCCCAACACCGTGTATGTATATATATAGACGAAATAGTATAGGTCCAACAACCGCCCGTCTGTTCTGGCCAGGTGCTGGCAATGCCGTGAAAGCATTCAGCAAAGACATCGGCCAAGGTGTTCTGGCCTCAAAGGCATCGGGAGTGCAGTGCATGGATCACCCAAGACAATGACTTCGATTCGGCCTACAAGCTCGCCATTTGGGGTCAATGGATGGAGCTTGCAGCCAATCAGAACGATATCATTTTCCCAGGTATATATATATATATGTTGAACCAAATCAATTTCATGGGCATGTGTTGAATAATACGTGCCCCGTATATATACTAATCAATGGATTACATTTCGTTTTGAGGGCTACCCCATGTATATGAATATAAGCAATGCATTTCTATTCGTATATATACTATACTATATAATAGAGCTCTGGCATTTACCGTTGCCACACATGGCCAAGCCATGGATGTTGATGAAACTCCAGATGAAGAGCTGCTGGATTTGCTTTGTTGTCACCGCAGTGACCCTTGGCCAAAAATACAAAGTTGATATGTATATGGAATACTATCTAGATTGTAGGAACCTACAAAACATATACCCAATTAATTGAATAATGATCGATGGAATGGAAACATGTTGTTACCAATTGTCATTGCGATCAAGTATAAACATGTCTTAAGGGAGTGTACGGTCATGTTTCCCCCATGATCCCACCCACGGGTCGATTATATGTCTCCATTGATGGCAGGGTATATATATAACAAATTATTTATAAGATGTGAAGGTCATCTCCTGTCATCCGTTTCCCAGTCAGCCATCAAGGAATCGGAAGGACCTTTCCCGTGGCCAGTGCCGCTAGGGCGGGGACGGTCTGGGACAGCCACTGGTGACGGCCTGGCGGCCGGAAATGGGCAAGGTTTGGGAGGCCTGTCGTCATCACTCTGTCCTCCCGTCGCCCCTTCAGTCCCGGAATGGTTGGCACATCTACCACTTGAACTTCAAGGGAATAAGCGCCTTCTCAACATTGCCGATGAATCTGCCGCCATGCCATGCATAGCTTTTGATCTACCACGGCCCAATCTTTGTGCCGGACGTGTGTTGGAACACTGTGTCAAAACAGTTGAGCGGATATACAACAAATGGGATCCAGTTATATTCAAAATTGGATGGACACATGACCCATGTTGGAGATGGAAAAATGACCTTTATGGTTACTGCCGTGCAAAAGAGAAATGGTCGAACATGACTATCTTGCACATTTCACATGAACCATATTCTACATCGATGCTGGAAGCAGCACTCATCTTATATTTCAAATGCATCTAGCCTGCATTCGATGTTGATGTTGCAATGACCACATCTTGAATCAGCAATGGCAAAAACTTTGGATGTGATTTTGAATATATACATATATATACTTCTTGGTATATATCCTATATGGGTGAATATATATTTGGGGCTAGCCAGGGGCCAAAGTTTTTGACATTGCTGCACCATGCAAAGATTTAGCGGAAAACGCTTGCCGCGGTCGTTGGCGGAAACCCTGCGTTTGCCTCTCCCGTCCCAGGTAAGCGTGGATGCAAAAACATGCGATTGGGGGGGGACACCGTGAACACAGAGGAAGTGGACGGTGTCTCTATGTGTTATTTGTTGCACAGGTCATTCAAATTCAAGCCTCCGTGACCGTTGTGAAGGGTATCCCTTCACTTTTGTATAATATATATCCAGGAGATTCCGAAACCCCAAAAAACAGGGTCTCTATGGAAAGCAGCGGCAAGAGCCAGCTAAGCTTTCGGCATCCGTAAGCAAAAATCGTTCCGGAGTAAAATTGCAGCATTGCAGCGCATTGCAGCAGTGACTGGGATATCGCTGTCATAGCATGACACCATGAATTGGCTGCATGGGACTTTGTTCTCGATCAGACTGGGTTTCCAACGTATACCACCAACACCTCGACCCCTATATATTTGTACTTTTTCCAATGATTCCAATTTTTCCCGCCGTTCCAAGGTCTCAAGCTGCAGAGCTGCAATCAGAGCAGCGAAAGGCATTGTGAGCGATCTTGGAGAGGATGTCGCGGCAAAAAGCCGTGGGCTCACAGAGTTGAGCCGTTGTCATGAAACTACTAGCGAAAGGGATGTTGAAAGATTAACAAGAAAATTCAATCTTTCGCTCCGCATTCCAATCACTGAACTGCAGAAATCCCCTGGAGTGCGGTACACAGGGACATTCCATGTGATCGCTTTGCGGGATTGGATTCAATATATAGTCAGCCATGGCTTATGGCATGTGCTTCTTGGCCTCCACAACGCAGATGGCAAAAGAGAAAGGGCAATTCTTCGTGAGTTTTGGAGACTTTATCGGATAGCCCATCCGCAGCATCAACTGTTTGACGCCATTCAGAAGTATGCCATCGATGAGGGTCGACTCCTTCCAGTTTTGATGCATGGAGACGAGGGGCGAGGGAGAAAGAAATCTCCATTTCTCGTCACATCCTTCCATTCAGTTTTAGGCTTTGGAACCAACTTGGCCAACAGCGAAAGGAAAAGAAGAAAGTATTTGAGCATGAAACTTAACTACTGCGGCTCAACGAACACAAGCAGAATGATTTCTGGGTGCCTGCCCAAAATGAGCAAAGATGAAGCCGCGCTTCAGGATCTTCTGACTTATACGACGGGCGATTGCTGGCGCATGCTTGAGCATGGAGTTTTGGATGCTGATGGTCAGCGATACCATGCTGCCTGCATCAATGCAGTGGGTGACTGGATGTGGCTTGCAAAAGCCGGTAACCTGGAAAGGTCATTTTCAAACGTGCCCAAGAAACCTTTGGTCGCTGGCTCGCGGCCAAAGGGCATTTGCCACCTTTGCTTGGCAGGCCGCCCTGGGTTTGACTTTGAGAATTTGAGCTCTGATCCCGCATGGCTGGGTACTTTATTCACACCCGGAGACGAGCCATGGAAGTCTAAACCAATTTTATTGAGTTTGCCTCACGACCCAGCCCGGGCTGCAGGATTCTTTGCCTACGATGTCTGGCACGCTTTTCACCTCGGCTTAGGAAAGTCGTTTGTGGCAGCAGTGCTGGCTTGTATTTCGGATCGCTTTGGAGCGAGCACAGTGGATGCTAGGTTTTTAGAGTTGACAGACTTATATTTACAATTCTGTGACGAGTCTCGCGAGCCAGCATATATCACTGCAATTACCAAGGAATCTTGCGGATGGCCTGATCGGAAGACCTTCCCTAATGGCCAATGGCATAAAGGCCATGGCACGACCACGTTACTTCGTTTCTTGGAAAGCTGGTTCTCCAAAAACAATGTTGCGGATGATCTCATTTTATCCATGTGTGCCGAAGCAGTTGTGGTTCTCAACCGCTGTTTTCACGAAATGTACGCCAGTGACCTGTGGCTTGAAGTTTCTGCTTGCCATCGCATCGGTGGCATTGGAATGCAATTTCTGTGTCTGTATCAACGGCTGGCGTTGGAAGCTTTTTCTCAGTCCAAAGCCCTTTTCGCTTACCTTCCCAAGTGCCACATCGTGCACCATATAATGATGGGTCTTGCCAAGGCTCATGTTGCCAGCCTGAACCCTTTGACTTTCGGAGTACAGATCGATGAGGATTTCATCGGGAAGAAGAGCAGAGTAGCGCGCCGCGTGGCGCCTACTCAGGTAATCAAAAGAGTTCTTCAACGATCACTGCAGATCGCGTATGCTGATTGGCAGGAAGCGGGTTACATCAAGTAAGCAATGCAAAATGATGCGTGACTGGTGGTGTGGTTGGAGGATGGTAATGTATCGATGGAAACATGTGAGATTGTCAATTTTTTGGGATTTGTCAAAATCCTGTAATTCCACAAAACCTAGGTTTTCAATGGAAAACACGGCTTTCCATAGAGACCCTGTCTTTTTTGGGGTTTCGGATTCTCTTGGTATAAATGTATATAAATGTATATAAATGTATATAATAACATATTATATATATATGCACAGTATACATGTTGGATGATATTATATTGACATATTGGTGCAGGTTGGCCCTCTAAGGGACCAGATATCATAGCAGCCGCCCTGCCCAATCGTGCCGCAGGAGAACGTTGTGACCTACCCTGGAGTGAAAGGCAACTTCCTGCGCTTTCAGCTTCAGTCCCCGATCAATCGCACCGGCAACACTTGGCACATCCAGGCTGCCGGCTGGACCGATGGGGCTTGGTCCAAAGGGATTGACCTGCGTTTTGTATGGTCCTTTTATGGGGAAAATGATGGTCAACCACTCTTCTTTTCTATAGGTATCCTGTTAACCCATCTAATGGTAGGTTGAGAAATGCACTTTCGAGATTTCAGCAGAAGCGAACAGCTCCCATCCTTGAGGTCTTGATGCACTGCAAGTGGAATTGAACATTTATTTTATGAGGATTTGATTCCAGTTGAAATCTAGCACACCCTTGATGGATCTTTCTTCAGAGTTCTACCAATTCTAGAATTTTCTAGGATCTATCATCTATCATGATCTATCGTGTTCATTGCGGATGATGGAAGAATCCATACTTCGACCGCCAGATTGCAGCGCCCTTCTCCCTAGAGGGGCTCCGCTACGGTTGGCACATTGACCCGGAGCCTTCCGATGACGGTGAGCCGGTCTTTGAGCAACCTGTGCTGGATCCCTGTGCGCGGTGCTTGTCTTCCGGAGGCACCGGTGGCTACTGAGCCCCGCGAAAAGTCGTGGTGTCTTTTCATGTCGTAGATCGATTTGTTTGTTGGTCTCATATTTTTCACTTGCTTTGCTTGCTTTTCTTTAAATAGTTTTTTTCACATCTGGGCTTGGCTTCGCTTCAAATGGCTGGGCCTTCGAATGTTGCAGAGACCAAAGTCTCTTTGAAGCCTGTGATGCCAGGTTATTAAATACCACTGGCCTGGGTGACTTTGGTGCTCTTAATAATTACGTCCTCTTTACATATATATATATATATGTATATATACTGCATGCCCTATGCCAACTGTTTCATTCATACACGCTGAGCCGCAGTGATAGCTGCCACATCCAGGTGTGGAAATTTGGAATCGTCGTGGTGAGAAGTTCAAGTATGCACCTCTATCAATTGTGCCCGACTTTCGTGCGCTGGAATGCTTTGACTGGCAAGGCGCATAGTTCTTCATCCCTTTGCACTATAGATGACATCACCCAGAAACTGAAACACTGATTCAGTATTGGATCTAATTACTCATGTTGGGAGCCAATGAAAAGGAAGTTTAATATTTAAAAATTTAGATGAAGTTCTTATCCACCTTTTGGATGATTCTTTGGGTCGTTTTGTTTTTAGGGCACAGCTGATCCCAGATCGCAGGTGTGACCTCACCGGGACACTCCTTGCAAGACCTGGTCATTTACGAGGCTCCATCCCCCCCAAGCATCGTTTCAGCATGTTTCAGCAACAGCTGGTGGTAACCCAGGGAATTTGGAGGTGTTGCCTCTGTGGGATTAATGGAAAAGAACATGAATTCTCAGGGAATATCGAGTCTGCAAGCCCGGCTCGGATCTCTTCGTCGAAGCACACCAGCTTGTAATTATTTACTTATCTTACATGATTTACATGAGATAAGTTCAGGTTTTCGCAGAGAGCCAAATTTTTGAGATTCGCAAAAATCGGCCAAGCTCGCGGCTGAGCCTGCATCCAGGCGCATGTGCGCAGTTTCACCAAGAACAAAGACAGTGGGGTCAAGCAGTCGCATGCCGGGACCTTCCTTGGCTTCATAGCACCTTGATCCGAAAATCTCGGAGATTTCAGTGCTGTTCACGATGAGAAAGGCTGCATTGAAATGGTCCCAGCTCCAATAAATTGACCAAGGAAAAGATCCCGCATCTTCTCAACTTGGGCATTAATTGTGTGCACCTCAGATTCGTAGTGACGCGTAGTGACTTAGTGCTCCCTTACAACACTCAGCAACTCGTTTCGCTGGTGAAGGCGTGGAGCTTTTGCCCATCTTTGAGTTTGACGAGTCGCAAGTGCCGTGGAAACATCCCCAGACAGGGGAACATCTCTGTCAGTACTGGGGCTACCAGACCTGTCCTTTGGCGACAAGGTCACAACATGTCACAACTCAGCTAGGGTCAGGCAGAATATCCGGAAAATTCATGAAAATTCTATGAACATGTAGGTTATTGTAGGTTGGTAATGTGGAAATTGAAGTTTGACAGGAGATTGTAATGCAAAGCAAGATCTCAGGCGTCCAGCCTCAAGAGAGGCGGTGCAACATTCCGAAAACATTGATATTGGTTCGGTCATAACTGTCAGTAACTCTCATAACTGACAACTATATTATACCCCAAGAGTGGTTCGTTTATCTTGGTTTGAAAACCCCACTAGTCTTTAAAACATTTTAAAGCTTCATTTTTGCGATCCATCAATTCTTTGGACATCGACCAAACCACAGAGATGTTGTCATGTCCACTGTCGACTAGGCTCCTACAATACACCCATGCAGCGCTTCGCAGTTGGATCCACTTCCAAACCCTGGGCTGCCATTGTAGGGACCTTAGTGGAGAAAAAAGCTCAGCTCAGCGCCTTTTGCTGACGACTCATAGGATACTGAGCACTATGTTGATCTATATCGTATTTTATAAAATACTGTACTATAGATCTATAATGATCTATATGTATATTATTGTATATATATATATTTATCATACTGTACTATATAGTATTAACATGTATTCAATTATATCATACTGAGCTAATACTTCTTGAGCCGAAGCCCCACCACGTGCAGGTGGAATTCAAGACCCTTGTCCGTGAACTCCATCGCAATGGCATCGAGGTGTGGCAAGCTGGATCATGCAGCAAGCTGGTGTGTCGCTGCGAGACAGCCCTATTGGTATTAGTTCAGGGATTATACGAATTAATATTATACTTGTACTATTATATATGATCATATCTGATTATAGATTATAGCTATATAGTAGGTATTATTATACTTATTATGTTTTTTCTAATTATTATACATATTATACTAATTTTACTACCCAATGATTAAAATATTAATGTTGATTGGGGATTAATTATCGTAATCCATGAACTTGGAATCCCGTTGCCCAGTATGAATGGCACTGCTCATGTACAATGTAGATGTTTGCCAACCGATGGTTGGAACATGGTTTCTGCTTCAAAATTCCAATGTGGGTCTTTTGGAACCATATTTTTGGCATCCAATGACAATATTGATACATTTCAGCGACTCGACGCGACCCCACCTTTTGCATTGGTCGCGAATTTTCAAGGCTGTGCAAAACGCACGGCCCTTACACTTTTTGTTCAATGGTCCATCAACAGTTTGAACCAACATCAAATAGGTCCAAACTCGCCCCATAACAAAATGTTATATCACGATTTCCGGGATACCATGGTGAAATGACTTGTTCCCATTCGGGTTGGTCTGAACATCAGGTAGCCCAAAATAGTTTGGTTTGTCATGGTTAAAATTGTTTTTTTTGTGTGTGTGTGGTAGAATTAGCCCATTTTCAGACACACCGCGCCCATATATGGGTTTCCATGAAATCGCCATCACCATTAAATCATCATTGAACCCATATAAAAATCATTAACCCATTATCGTTATCACCATTATCCCATTGGGGGACACGAAACTCATCGAAACTCGCCGTTGGAAGGTGGTCCTTGACGTGGTCTTCAACCACACCGGCGAGGGCGCTTGGGGCGTGAGCAACTGGAATTGCCTGGCGAAGGTGGCAGTGAGTCACTGGACGAAAGGGGATGCACTGGCAACATCTGGCAACATGGATACCTGGTGGATACCTCTGATTCAAGGATAAAAACTACAAATACATGGGAATTCAACGATTTTTATATGATTATTAAATCATCAATTAAATGCAGTTTGAAGTTCGAACTATAAAAAATGAGTTAAACCATTAAACATGTGGATGAAACCATGAAACATGGAAGTTTCATTGGTTAGACAATCCAACGTGGATAAGACAGTCATTTGTTAATGTTTCCTTGTTTGTTGGCATGGCCAGAGGGTAGATTCGATGAGGTCACTACTATTTGATGTCCAATGGCTACCACACGAACTACACGGGCTGCGGAAACACTTTGCAGCTTGGCTGAAGCAAACCCTTAGCAATTGAGATTTCTGATGCTGATCTTTGCCATCGGGTCAGTAGACTGTGTAAAATAGTATACATGCTATTTAAGGGGAAACGTGGCCAAAACTTGCCTGTCACCATATTTGGGGAAGATCCCCCTTACCTCCCTGTTGCTGTGAAAACAACCGTAGATTGCAGCAGCTGAGGCACGCGAACGATCCAAATTGCACCGAATGGATCCTGGACTGCCTTCGCTATTGGGCTTTGGACATGCACGCCACTGATCTGAAATGAGTAAGTGACTGTAACTGTAATGTAGCTGTAAGTGCTGAAAGGTTCACATAGGCCTGACCAAGGATCTCATTTTGTCGATAGGAACCGATGCAAGCGTTGATTTTGAGTTGTCAGCCAAACAAGATCAACGAGTTTTTTTACTTAAAAGTTGCAGATATTTCACAGATGTGATGTACCATCTTGGACGCCACAGCAAGGTGCCTAGCCTAGATATGTACGGTTACTAGTTTGGACTTCCAGCATCGCCAATCCAGAAGCATCTACCGGGCAGCCGTAGACACTGATACCTGGCTTAGCTGAGGTGGATGGCTTTCGCTTTGATCTTGCGTCATCTTTGACAAGAGGTAGCAACTTGGACCAGCTTCAGTCAGAAGGAGCGCAGATTTCAAGGGACCCATGGGGACCCTTTATGCGCTTCGTGAGTTGTCCTTCGGGCAGATCAGCCGTGACAAAGATACAGGCCCCGTCAGGCCCCCTTGGAAACTTCCTTGTCCTGCCGAAATTTCACGCGGTACCATTTCAAAGGCAGTTTGCACACCTGGCAACGTGTCATCCCCATTGTTGGAGAAGGAAAACATAGGAAAACGATTGATGAGCAAACCATCAAAGTTGTTACTGTGGGCTGAGAGCTGCTGCACTAAGGTGATGGTCAATGCATGCCGGACCGGGGCAAATTCCATGCCCGTCATCTTGCAAAGCTTCAACGCAAATTAGTTCTGATAATATCCGATGGTATATTCAAAGTAGCTTCGCATTAATGATTGGACTCATTTGAATTCAAGCTATTTTCTACATTTTTTTTTACAGTTTTTGCCTTGTTGACTTACATCAAGAGAAATGCGGGGAAACGCTTGGAGACTTGGCATGGCGGCGCACGCAGGAACCGCCCTTCATCAAGCGCCTGGTGAACGATCCATTGCTGCAGCACATCAAGCTGATCGCGGAGCCATGGGATTGCGCCTGGCCCGATGGCAGCTTCGGCAGCAGATGGCTGGTACCGAAATCGGAATGTGGATTGTCTGGTGGATTGGTGCCCATAAAACGATGATCCAAGTACTTCCATGTTTCAAGGATTTGATGCGCAAAAAAACATCTATACAGCAGGGTATGTTTTTTTTTTAACTTTTGTTGGCATACTACTTGAATCAATGGTTGATGACAAGAGACAGACATGTGTCAGCGTGTATGGGTTTGGCAGGCGAAAGGGTGCATGAAATATTCTCTGAAATGCTTGTCAAGTGCTTTGCGCTTTTGCTAGCTTTTTGAACCCAAACCAAATGTTCCATACATCGTCTGCTTCTCTATGTAGGCAACTCGTTCCATCCCCGCACGCAATATAAAGAAGTGCTTCACGATCATTTGCGATGCATTGTTTGGCCAGCTCGATTTCTTCAAGTCAACTGGAGTTCTTGTGACAGATTTCCCACGCACGCCCTAAGGTTATCTAGTCGGACAATTCCCCAGTGGGGGTGAACCTCGCTGGGCTGAGTGGAATGGCAAGTGTTGGCCTCAGCGTGGCCGTCCAGCATGTTCATTGAGTTTTCCCCAAGTTTTTTTTTAAGCCATACAGAGATTGATAGCGATTTGGGGATATAGGATAGATGTGGATAGTTGCAAATAAGAAATCAGTTGAGATGTCTTACATAAGCCAGGTCACTTAGCAGTGACAATCCTGACCGGTGGTAAACCATGGTAAACCCGGTAACGCCAAGGTTCCGAGACTGCGTGAGGGGCTTCATCAAAGGAGACCCTGGCATGAAAGGCCAATTTGCCACACGTGTTTGTGGCAGCCCTGACCTTTACGAACCCGATGGACGTGGACCTTGCCATTCCATCAACTTCATCACGGCCCATGATGGTTTCACCTTACGTGGCTTTGGCCTGGTGAAACATGGTGAAAACTTGTGAAACCTTGTCCCTTTCGAGGAAACTTCGCCGAAACCTTGGTGTGCTCTTCCTGGCATTCTAAAGCTGTACAAAATCGCAAGAAAACCAGGAAACCGAAACAGATTTGATGTTTGACAATTCTTGCCAGTCGTGTCGTGGAGAGCACATTGCCAAAGCTCCAAGGTGATTTGGTCAGCTACAACAAGAAGCACAATCACGTGAACAACGAAGAGAGCGGCGAAGACAACAACATTTCATGGAATTGTGGTGAAGAGAATGATGAAGGCCAGTCTTTTGTGCTGACGCGGCCAGTCCAGGTTTGGAATGTTTAAGAGAAGTTGCGGGTTTCAGGATGTGATGTGATTTCCCGCTGCGATATGTGGAGTGTCCTAATGCGTCTGAATTTCATTGAGATAGAGATTGATGGCTCCACCAGGACCAACGAAGAAAAAGGGCATCCTACAATTGCGTGACCAGCAGAAGCTTTGGCGAACTGGGTCCGGCCCAAAAACCCGCCTTGAGGCCATGACATCCTGTAGGGAGATGTAAAATTCCCGAGACGTAAATGGAGGTTTTAATATGTTTGAATGGGAAAACTAGCTACGAAAAGGTGATTTGCCATGATTTGCCATGATTTGCCATGGCCATCAAATGAATTGATAGAAATTGATAGATATCAACCAGTATCAGACCTCAGCAATCCTTTAGATAAATCACGTCATCGTCTTGTCACGGGACAAGATGACCATATAGGTACCCAAAAGCTGTTGCTGATCTCAACACAGCAGCACATCCTCTTTGCTCCATAGCTAGGTCAATGTCAATGATGTTTCTGTTCTGGTGGTTTCTAGTGTTTTTTTTCACGGCAATGTTGCAAGTTGGATTGTTTTCGTGGTGGTTTCATTGAAACAAAACGCATCTACACTTCTTGTGCTTGAGTTACCATCAACCTGCTCTCGTGGCCACCGCGGGGTGGTCATCCATGGTCATCCATAGGCATAAACCAACCCCCATGACTTTGATGCTTTCTATCATCACCCATTGATGGTAATGACTGGGGGAATTATATGGATTTATGGCATTGTTTTAACCACAGAGCCATAGGGAATCCACAGTGGGATGACCATACTTGATTCCCCAACTTTTTTCGGCCTGAGGATGCGCAACATGCTTTTGGCCTTGTTCCTCTCTGCCGGAACGCCCATGGTGACTTCTGGGGACGAGTACCTGGGCACCACACGCGTTTGTGTTTGCGATCGTAGATTTCATAGATGCTGTGCGGTCATACCTCTTGCAGTTTTTCGTAACGCTTTGTTTGAAACGCTGCACATTTCCGCGTTTCGGGCCTGTAGTTCCAAGAGATTGCGCTGCGAACAGAACAAGTCAATATGGGACATCGGAGAATGTTTTCATTTTGTTGAGATACTAAGGTATGGACGAAGTCAAGGATATGGTTTCAAGACAGACAGCACCTGTTCCAACACCAATGATGAGCAACCATGTGACCAATTATACCTTAACATTACCCACAAACTGCAGGTGACGAGGCTTGATTTAATTTACATGGATAGTGAATATCGCAGAAATGGATATGTTCAGCTTTGACTTGAACTTGTGCTTTTATGCGAGGAGGGAACAACAACTCTTGGTGTCAAGATCAGTTGAACTGGTTTTCCTGGGCAGAGTGCGCCAAGGACAGAGGGTGAAGTTTCATGCAGTCTATGCAGTCTGAAGATCCGTGGTGAATCCAATGAATCCAGTGGTCCGACAAAAATTGCAGACGTGGATTGTAACAAAGTGAAGCATGAGAATCATGAAATAGTGGATTTCTACATATATATATACACTATCTATATAGTATGATATATGTATATATATTATTATATATATCATACTATATATATATATATATTATATATATATGTCCCAATATATGTCTGTCAATATTTCATTTCTACTTGGTCCGCCATGGATTTTTGGCCAAAAAAAGGATCCACGCTCCAGCAGGAGAATGATGGCCTAGTCCGTTTCTTTCGCTTGGCCCTGGGTCTTCGAAAGCAGCACAGTGATTTGTTGGCACGCACCACCTTCATGACGTGGCTTGGAGACGGATTTCTCACCATGGTCAGAGCCAATAAATGGGAGTTGGGATGAGTTGGGTTGCCATGTGGTTACTAGCCAGTATTACTGTAGTGCATATTGGTGGACTGTGCACATCTAAGATATCTACTGTAAGTAGATTTCCAGCATTTCTGGGTCCGCTGTTGATAAAGTTTCTTGGTTTCTTTTCATTTGAAAAAAATGGATGAGGCATGCAACCATCCAGTGGAACCATGACGACTGGGAGTCCGACTACAATTTCGTGTCCTACATCTTACATCGTCTGCTCCTCAGTGCTGGCTGACAGGAACTGATGGGTGCAGTGTATGGGTTTGACTATTAAACATATTAACACAGTAAGAGGAGAAACGCCAGGACAGATGTCAATGTATTGATGTACTGTACATGTTTTTGTAGGAGAGTATGTGTATAATTATGTATAATTGTGTATATATATAATTATATATATAATCCGGCTATCAACATATAATTACCAGAAAACACAGTTATGAATATTACACGAGAGTTTCATCTCCACCAGATGCTCGTTACGATCGTTACGTTCTGCGTTTCGAGGTGGAGGTGAGGAAACCGAAGGAAGCGAAGGGGAGGAGCCGGTCTCCGAGTGCGGTGCTAAGGTGGGGCAGGGAACCTTCGGCAACTCCCTAGGAATCTTCCTTGCCATGTGGCGTGGACGTGGCCAGGCAGGAAGCAGCCAGGACAGCGTGGGGGACACGAAGAAAACCTGTGCCTTACTGGTGGCTGCTTGGCCGATGCTGATGACTCATTGATGACTCGTTGGACGCCATTTCTGGACAGAGAATGAAGGAAACCATGGAAGAACTAATGCAAAAATCGGAATCTTTAAGTTGCACATGAGTTGAATAGTTCGATGCATTTCGGGCGCTTCCATTGCTATAAGGGTGCTTGAGATCTTGAGATGCTTCCAAACTGGTTGTGGAGCAGCAATGCCCATTTCACACAGCTTCTGAAAGCAGCGGAATTCCATGTTTGATTTCACCAGAACAAACTCGGTGTACCCTGAGGCATTCAACGCAGGACATGTGGCTGCTTGGACAACATCATGTGGCTGATGATGGAGCAACAAAAAAACACGTACAGGTATAGCAGTAGGAGTCAGAAGTAAAGACGGTCAGGTTCTCTTTTCATGCCCGACGGTTTCATTATGTTACAAATGCCATCTCTCATTACGAAGATGATTCAAGATTTGGCAGATAATCTTCTTCCAATAGATTCCAATAGTCGTCATGTATCCTGTATAGCGTGATTTTCTCCAGTGGATTTCTGTCAACTTTTTCCACTTACAGCGTGATTTTCCTCCACAACCTGCGTTGGTTCAGAGAATCCATGGCTTTCCACCAGTATGTCCATTGTGGTATACCCAAATTCTGGTAAAGCCCCATCAAATTGTATCAAAATCATATCATGTTAACATTGTTTGTCATACATCATATACATCTCACATCATCTCACTATATCCCTGCAAAATGCTTGGTTGTATAATGACATCATAAAACTCAATAAACCTGTGCATTCTTCATGGGTTTCATCCGCAGTTTTTTGTTGGTCTCCAAGTTTGCTGGTACCTCTGCGAATCGCGATAGATTCTGTGTTGAAAAATCCTTACTCCCCCATTCATCCACCATGTTGGTTGGCTAAGTTCATTAAATCCCTACATTTGTCATGATTTTTCTATATAGTTTAATATACTGATGTTTGAGTTGCTCAGATAAAATTTGCCTTCATTAGAATCAAATGATCTGTGGCTCCATTCACCATGTTAAGGTTGGTTGAACGCCATTTTTGAAACGAGTTTTCCTCTTAAGTGTTGCTTGGACTTAAACCTAACACTATCCTGTAACCTCTGGTAATTTAACATAGCTATTGAAAATGGACATTATAGTTGATTTTCCCATTAAACATGAACATTTTCGATAGCTATGTTAAATTACCAGAGGGTAGGTCCTATGTCAACTGAAACCAGGCGCATGATTGCCATCTTCCAGCGGGACGTGAGTGGTTCCGCATCGTTGACAGCAGCTTGCCATCTCCTGAGGAGATCCTTTTTCGGGAGCTGCCAGCGATCTATTGGAAGCCCAAAGAATAAATACTGATGGTAGGGGCCAACTACTAGGGTATATCTAATATCTAACATATCATAAGAAGTCTACAATGATCTTTAAGCATAAATTGAGATCCCACATGTTTAGATATTTTTGTTTCTACCAGAAACGCGACCAACATGTATGTTGGGGTGAGATTCAGATCTGATTCACACCGATTTGTAAAAGAAATTAGTTGAAGAATTTAGAAGATGAATTCTCAATTGGAAGAGCCGATCAACAGGTGGTGAGTAGTCGTCGAGTCGTCAGTCATGTTTTGCGTGCAGATGCGTGCAGGGTATTGGCAACCATGGTGAGCTACCCACTTGTAAATCGCCCCGACAGCCAGTACAGTGCATCTCATAAACTTCATTACATATCATTACATGATTTTACATGGTACATCTATGGTAATTTTCCATTCAAAACCATCCAGCTATTGGAGTATCCCCACTTCTGGAAAGCCCCATGGGGCCAAGCTTTGGGCCAGGACATTTGCGCATGTGATGAAGATGCCCAGGTCATCACCGGTGAGAGCTATGTCCCTTGGTGAAGGAGCTGAGATCTGCGCAGTGAAGAACCCGGTGGAGCTTCACAAAAGACACTTAATTTGTTTGTTCCAGAGTTTGTTCAAGCTGAATTCCAGAGGATTCTTAGAACCCACTGCACCACCAGATAGTAACTATGAGGCTTTTGCGGCCCTCGATATCCGAAAAGTTTATACCGTCGACTCGGCGACTGAGGTTATGTCTCCTTACAGCTGCATTGTCCTCCGAAGCTTTGACAATCTGGCAGATGCACAGCAATACAACATCGCAGAAGTGTCCAAGAGCATCTTGCTTGCATCGCGATTCTTTTCATTTACTGTATCTATACTGTATCTATACTGTGTCTAATATTCATTTAGATTCATTTATCACAAAGCAATTCTCTCCATACCGCTTCAGATGATTTCAAGATGCAAAGAATCGCAGCGGAATGCCCTGCAGGCCGATTGCAGCAGCTGCAAAGCCAGCTTCGACAAGTGTCCTCTCAGCCTTTTGAAGCACAGCTGGCGGAGGAGATGGGAAAACCCATGGGAAATGGGTATGGATCAATACCTATAGATACCATTTTTAGTGGGATGAACATCCATTTACCAGCTATTTTGGGGTTCACTAGGTACCAGGGTTTTGACCCATCCCCAAATGATGGGAAAAAACATTGCCATAGATCGCCATAAAGATCGCTGATGAAGACCCCCTTTGAAAATGGCAAAGAGACAGCAATTTCTGCAAGGACGAAGATCTTCAAGAGATCATCCCAAGCCTTCGAGGTGGGTTTAGAGTGAAGGTCAGCGAACAGAGCTTGATGTTTTTATAGAATATGATTACATGATAGTATAATTATGCATAATTGAGCAGTCAACAGGATTCTATTTTGTGCAAAATCATCCTTCTCTTCCAGAGAGTTATGACCACGTTCCAGGCATTCCCGAGCCTGAGCTTATGACAAAGCTTGCCGGCGAGGCTTTTTGGGTTGGATGTTTTGGGATAGCCCCGGATCACTAAGTGAAATATCAAGTTGTCACTAGTTTGACTATGTTTTGATGTTTGGACCAGCTACATCTATCACGGTATATCACCGTGTTTGTTGCATGGAGAGATGTGGAAGCTCATTGCCCACGCCCTTTCTCTCGACTCTACACACTTCCACATGGCCAAAGGGTGCGGTGAAAGGACTTGAAACGGATGATTTCACACGACGTGGCACCAGGGGTACCATCACCACCCTGTCATTGGCGCCTAGAGCCCTTCGACCGACAGATGGACAGATGGGTTCCTCACTGGCAGTATGGCACAGGTGCTTAGATTTCCCCCCTGTGCGAGATTTGTTGGAAATGGTGTGTCATGGTGTGTCTGAAAATGGAAATGGGCCATACCATGGTATAGCATGGTATACCCCAAAATACTCATTTTACTGGCGCACATGCTGACTTGGCGCAATGGATTCTAGGGTACCCAATTCTCAGACAAAACCCGTTGGTCCCAGGATGTTGAGCACTACTCCCTGTGAGACCTCTGTGACCATCGTGCTTTCATTTCAACATATTCCAAGGTTTGATGCTTCACCACTTCTTGCAGAAGAAGCACTGCAATGGGAGAGGGCGTAGTTAGTCAAATTCGATCTGGGGCCTAAGGCATGGCGCCACTGTTCTCCATCATGTTGTCCAGCACAATCACTGGAAGAAAATTCGACAATCCACAATCCCCCTGCACTGAAAGTCTATGAGCGTCTAATGATCTAATGCCTTGGCCTGTATTTGCTGAAATTTGCTGGCAAGCATCTTCCTCTAAATAGCTACTATTGTATACTCTTTGATCATAAGAAATTCACCTATTGGGGCCGTCAGTATTGTCATATCGCTTAAGGCTTCGCAGGTGAAAATGCCTGAAACTCACAAGGTGATTGCTGCAAAATCTGGATAATGTAGATGTCCTTTTCCTACTGGTCTTTAGAGGAGTCACCCCCATCAAACAAAGCAATAGGATGCAATAGGTAACCAGAACGGCCCTTCATGAGGGAGTGATTTTTGCTCTAAAAATGGTCAAAAATACTAGTATTTACAGTGTTTTGTGACAAAAGTAGGCTTAAATGGCTTAAAACTTAAAACCGTTATTTTAGAGCAAACAATAGAGTTCACCTACAACAGCATGACACACTTCTCTGTCTCTCTGGCTCTCTCCTTCTCTCTCTCTCTAACTATTGAAATGAGACTGCTGACAAGACTCTGCAAGACAACCATGATAAACAAAATATGTACTTACTTCTTGAGTTGTAACATTCCCACCATCCTTCTTATCCAGAGTGTTAGATGTGCTTGTGAATATCCACCTACATAATGTATGCCCTTCCCCCCATACTTCTTATGTAGCGAAATGCTTCTACATACAATGTATGTTGAGATGATATCAATCTAACAAGTTCATGAAGAAACAGCGATATCATATAAATTGCTTCTAGCAATAGAATTTCTCCATCACCTCTATCACATTAGCCACCTATTGCTACTGTATATTCTGTTCCAAGATGCGCAGCTACCCATTCTTGTGGCATTCTGTGCAGCAGATGTTTTCTGTTATGTGTTGATTGTTTGTAGTTCTTTGCAAGCCTCACAGGAAAAATTGAATCCTGTCACAAGAGTCTGTAGATGCCGGTGATTTATGACAGCATATGATAGCCTATTAATATCAGGCAACCTGTGTGGTGGCATAGCTATTGAAAGATATGGTATGTTTGCTTCTTTGAAACATCAGTTTAAAATGTTTAAAATATGGCCAAGATCCAAACGTACACAATCTAGCCTGCACCCGAGGGGCAGTTGCAGTCATTATTGTCAAACATAACATAACTATCAAACAACTATTTACATATCAACTTTATCAACAAATAAAGTAATGGTTATCACTGAAGAAGTTGGACACATTTCCTGTTTGCCATCCTGTATCTTATCTTGTAGAGCCTTGTCGGCAGATTCATTGAAAAAAGTGCTGCACTCATTATTGAAGTGGTTTTTGAAATCCAAAGATGTATGATCTAGCCTGCAGTCAAGAGGCAGCTGCAGTTGAAATTCATCAAGGCGATACTAGCAATACATGAAGTAACAGTGATAGAAGGTTTGACGAAATGTTAGCTGTGTTTCTTGATTGTTTGTGCTGCTTGTCAATGTGTTGTGAAGTCAGAGTCACCAAACCTGCACAGGCACCCAAAAAAGACAAAAAACAAACCACTAGATGCACCAAACCTGCACAGGCGCAAAAAAAAATAAAATCCAGGAACTATGGGTGCACTTCTGAGTAGTTGCTGGAAACTGTTTTTTTTTTTTGGTGCCTGTCGATGTTTGGTGCATCTAGTGTTTTTTTTTTTAATTGGTGCCTGTCAATGTTTTGTGAAGTCAGAGTCACCAAACCTGCACAGGCACCAAAAAAACGAAAAAAAACAAACCACTAGATGCACCAAACCTGCACAGGTACCAAACAAACCAAAAAAAAGAACAACAATTCCAGGAACTATGGGTCCACTTCTGAGTAGTTGCTGGAAGTTTTTTTTTTTTTGTGGTGCCTGTCGATGTTTGGTGCATCTAGTGGTTTGTTTTTGTTTTTTTTGGTGCCTGTCAATGTTTTTGTATATCTCATGTCAAGATCATGATGAAAAAAGTGCGATGTACTAGGGTTTTAGACCCTCCAAGTGCATAAAGCATTCGTATTTACAGTGTCTTATCATCAGTTTTAATGAAAATTCACTCCCCCACGCGGTGCCGCCCTCTAGGTAGATGAGTCCAGAAGCGAGCCCTTCTATTTTGCCCAACAGTTGCTGAGATGAAAACGCATCCAAATCTTTCGAAATCGGAAAGGTGTGGCTTGGTGGAAGAACAGCCGCTTTGCCCTGGTGACAAGCCAGTGCTGATGCATTTGTAATTCACAGCCCGGCTTTCAACCGACTCGTTTTTCGGTTGAACACTTGTGCGTGCCCTGCAAGAAAAAATGATGCATATGGATCTGATGGACATGATTTGACATAAGATGATTTTACTTCTGGCGATTGGCTTTTGATTGCAGAGGCACTGTTTCAATGGGTCCCAAGCGGCTCATTGAGCACGTAGTCTTGGCTTATGCCTATTTAATAATTCCCATACAGATCAGATGGCGGATGCATTCGCCGATTTTTCCTAGTTTGGTCAAATGGATGCAACCCTGACCCTGGATGTTGGTCAACAGCCACATGGCAATGTGTGCTGAGTCCATCTCGAGTCCCAGCTGGGTAAAAACGACAGCATGTATGGCATGTACCCCCTTGAAAGCTAAAACTGAACTCCCCAAAAGAAGGGGTTGGAAAGATGATTTGCTGAGACTTGGCCATGGCCATGGCCCACGACTTGATGGACTCGCTGGGCCTTGGCTCTGCGATGCCGTCAGTGGCCTCGTCACGGATCGCAGATTGACTGACACAAACTGAGTCAGCCAGTGGAGGATTCCTGGCATCCTGACGCATGATGCGTCATCCTCAACACAAAATTGTGGGTTGTTTTCAAGATGGGCTATGCAGAGGCTAAGGCGAGCTTGGAATTCTCAATTCGTCGGCAATCTCCCGTCAATTTTTTTTTTGTACAGCTCGAGCTTCAAAACAGGCTAGACGGCTAGACATAGATTCCTTGCTTTGAAATAGCTGGAAAAATTATATTAATAATATTTTTTTAATATTTTTTATATTATAATAAACATATATAAATTTATATCAATAAAATCCCGATTGGTAAATTTATCTTGAAATTAATATAATAAATAATAAAATAAATAATTATATATATATAATATTATTATTTATTGATATTATGATTTGGCTATATATAAACAGTGCGCACGTAATTTTTCGAGGCCAAATTTCTCCGAAATTATTATAATTAAATTTGAATTTCTTGAGTTCCCTGTACGGAGGTCGAAAACTCGCTATTTCCTTACCTGTCAGGTGAGGGTTATTAAATTTTATTAGAGCGTATGCCTGCCTCCTCCTTTTTTTCGACTAGCTGTTTTCTTCGTCGTTCTCCTCGTCTCCGCCTTATTCTACCTCTACTTTCGTTTTGTTAACCTTACTACCTCGTCGCCAAGTTTTTTGCCAACTACCCAGCTTAGTGCGTACTGCTGGACGTTAACCTGCGAGCTGCCTAGCTTAGTGTATATCGCTGGACCTTAACCGGGGATTTACCCAGCTTAGTGGGCACCGGTGGACCTCAACCTGCGAGCTGCCTAGCTCAGTATACACCACTGGATCTCAACGAACAAATAAAATGCCAGAAAATATACCAGATGGAATGTTAGATAAAATTCCAGAAAATATGCCAAATAAATGTCATGAGATATGCCAGATAGAATTCCAGAAGGTATGCTAAAGAAAATACTAAATAAAATATTAGATATAATGCCATAAAATATACTAAATAAAATCCTAGACGATTTAGTAAATAATATACTAGAAGAA